TGTGCAGTGGTGAGGAAAAATTGAAGGAAATTATCCAGTGCCCGTGATGCCAAATATCTTGGCCGCCGGCTGATTTTCGCAGGGACGAGATTCTACTGCAGCTGCCGCTATCAACGTGGAAGCATTGCTCTGCTTTCCTGCTAAAGAATCTAGAGTCAAGGGGCCAGGGAGCAGCTGTTCGGCAACCAATAAGGGTGGGCACACACACGAAGAACGGTTTTGAGAGACGGATGAAGCCTTGCTATGCCCCTTTGGGCTCTCCGTCTCCTGCAAAAGCAGCACGTTTCGCTTTTGTAGTCTCAGCCTCCCTTGACAATAGCCAGATTTTCTCTTTTCACAATCCAATTTAGCGTACCATATACTTTAAGACCATTTTCAACTTGTCATTTATCGCGTAATCTTGAATGCTTACCTTATTTTCCAATGGAGATCGGTGCTTTCTTTTTCATCTATTGTACAACCTATTTTGATTTTCGACAGTAATCCTTCAATGTTGAGGAAGAAACATGTCATGTGAAGCATTTGGTAGAAATTATTCCAAATAACAAGAAAGGAAATTCAAATCAAATTATATGAAAACGACTGCTTCAGAGAATTCACTGTTCATTTTCTAAGCTTTCTTTCTTACCAGTTTTCTTCATTTCTTCTTGCTCTTTTTGAATACCATTACCAGTCAAGATTGCTTGAGAGTAGTGGGCCCCAACTTACTGTGTTTCCTTTGATTATTCTTTTTCCTTTTCAGCTGGACAACTCGTTTGTTTTCTTCATCGGAGATCATGGGCCACGCTTTGGGAGGGTAAGTATTGTGCGATTCTAGTTGTACAGATAAATTACCAGCTTTGGGACAAAAGAAAAATATATTGTGAATAGGAAGAAATTTTTTATTTTAAGGTTTACCAGGAAGAGGGGGATGGTGAGGTTGAGTGTCCCTTTAGGATGGAATGTACACATGGTCGGTCTGATACGTTTTCGAATGCCGACTATGAATCTGCCATCCAAATATTAGAGGCAAGGCGGATCAAATCGATGTAGTATTACGAACGCAGGGACGCAAAAGTGATATGCACGTGGAGAAAGGAAAGCAAACTGTCGAAAACAAATGAATAAATAAATATAAACAAATGAATAATTACGAATCTTAGAATATGACGTCCTCATCCTGCGCTGCAGAGAAGTTTGAGAGACGGGCAGTGGGATTAGAGATAGTGCGAAAGGGAAAAGAACTTCAATTCAAGATTGTAGCAAATCAGTGTACGAAACGGGAATATATCGAAACGGTGGGCGACGGATCTTCTCGGGCGTGATATGTCCAGGTGTGAAGCCCTGACACCTCGATCTAGGGGCGTGGGTTGTTACGACAGCGACCCCTGCTTCCAGATCACGAATAAGTTAGGAGGTTCTTCGAACCATACTCTGAGACGTGTCAGTCGACTTTTATGTGCTGAAAATCCGGTAAAATTTATAAGTGAAACTCAGCCAAAGCGCAATATAAACATGAAAAGCTCTTGAGAGGAGTGCTCGTACGTTCTGACCATCACAAAAGCTAGTAACTTTGATCATAACCTAGAGCTTTGCAAATTCCCGCCCAGTAGTGGTCATTAAAAAGTTGCAGCGAAAAATAATGAGTAATTTTTGTTAATATTGCTCTAGCCAGATTTGGGCAAACATTTATCTATTTATGATCTTGCAAACATCAGTCGCATATTGCACATTTCAAATCAAACTGGGGGGCTGGTCATGTTCATACCTACCACCCTTCTTTTATAATGAATCACGGAGGTTGCTCCATGATCAGGTTTACAGTTATCATCCGTAATTGATTGATGTGAAGTAATTCGTTATCTAGGAAACAAGGACGTCCTTTGGCAGACACGAAGCCAATAATCCATTCCTCTACATGACCGTTCCAAAATGGCTGAGAAACTCGGAAATGTTCAAGGTCCTAAAGGCTAAGGAATACGAACTTATCACACCTCACGACATCCACGCCACACTCAAGGATATTCTAGAGGTGAGCGTATATGAGTACATAGTTGTTGCGCTGCACGTAGTGGATTCAATCGGAGAGATATGCGGGAGCGTGATTATGCTCCGGGCGGTTTGTTAAAATGAAGGGCTACGGGTAGAATACCGTTCTTCCGGCTGAGGGAGCAATATACTGAAAACGGTGTCGTATTTCTGGAAAACATGGGATGTTCAGAGAGTGGAGATTTTTTGGAATCTCTGAAATAAAAAGAGAACAACTCCGCAAAGACAATTTCGCCTTATCAACAGCTATATATGAAAATTTGGGGAGCCGGAGCTGACAGTATGTCATGTTGTGTTAAAGCAACAGTCCCAGCAGGGTTTTTACCTTCGACACTAATGGTGTGGAACGATGCGCTAGCCCTAGTCAAGAACATAAGAAGTGTGACTGAACAAAAAACTCACCTTGGAAAGCCGCTAGAAAGGGAGCTGAACGGCTTCGAAGTGGGCGTGGTTGCTCAGTCGGCTGCAATCCCCTCGGCCGACTTCCAACCACGCCCACTTCGAAGCCGTTCAGCTCCCTTTCTAGCGGCTTTCCAAGGTGAGTTTTTTGTTCAGTCACACTTCTTATGTTCTTGACTAGGGCTAGCGCATCGTTCCACACCATTAGTGTCGAAGGTAAAAAAACCCTGCTGGGACTGTTGCTTTAAGCTCAGTGACGATCAGATTACGGTGAAGTGGGGTCCTGTATATGAAATCAGAAACAATCAATTAGATTAGGTTAGGAACTGGTTACTACTATGCGGAAATGGAGACCCACATCATAGTTCCTTAGCTAAGTACTAACAAGGGGAGGTCTTTCAGGGCAAGCCGCGCTTTTTGGAAACGGTTTCTTGCATATTGTAGGGACGCATGTATGGACCACAAAACCATGTTTCGTTTTCGCTGAACGGTTTTAGTAGTACAAAAAGTGGTGAATGATACCCTTGATGGTTCGATCCCCCGCGGCGACTAAATTTTGCAATCAAGGTTGGCGGCCACTTGTTGGCTTCAAAATGGTCCTGACGATGAATATGACATCTGATTTTGACATTTAGCGCGATTTGGCACCAATAGGCGCCAACCCAAATGCAAAATTTAGTCGCCACGGGGGATCGAACCATTAACAGTACCTTATGCTTTTTTGGTACTGCTAAAACCGTTCAGCGAAAATGAAACATGGTTTTGTTTCCCTACATGCGTCCCTACAATATGCAAAGCAAACAACGCAGCTTTTCAGACAACCGGCCTTGCAGCGTTCGGCTTTCCGCTGAAAAGACCTCCCCTTTGAAGAAACCATCAGTTTCGACTGCCTTGTCCGATCTACCCTTTCTCGACGGCAAGTGAAGCCTGAAATTTTTTTCTACACAGAGTGGACAGAGGAGAAGAAAGAGTGTTCGAAACCTATCTCCATTGAAAAAGGCAAATTTCACTATTTAGGAACAGCCTTTCTCGAACTTCCTCGACACCGCGTACAAATCGTTCTTTACCGTTCAGTCGTGGCTCATCACTTCTCCGCGAATTCGAGTCAGGTTTCGTTCGGAATTGCAAGACACTCAATTCCTTCGCAATATGCATATGCCAAGTACGAGCAAGATTTACGCTTGAGAGTTGATGGTTCTAGTATTCCATTTTGTTGGAGGAAGAAATCTAATTAACTTCAAACATATATGTCGATATCCCTTTGTTCTTACACAGGCGGTCAACGTCACGTTCGAAACATTCGGGATTTTTGCGAACACCACCCCCTCCGAAGGCGGTCAAAGTGCACCCCCACCAATGCACAATTGCGACCCCCTAATACAACACGAGCCATCCCCCCACCGCGAGCTTCCCTCTTCTATAGTAGTTTGATTTCTGAGACCAGTTGACACAGCCCAAAACCTACCTAAAACTCCGAAACTCCGCCTACTTCTTCCCCAAAAATAGCCGTCGAGCGAATACAACTTGCCGCCACTCACTACCGGCGGCAGTGTCGTATCTCGTCGACGTGGGGGTATATAAAAACCACTGAAACGCAAACGGCAACTTTTTCACTTCACACACCTCTGCCCTGCCTGATGACCAAAGCGCGCAATGCGACCCCCTTTTCCCTCCCAGAACCCAAATGCGACCCCCCCCCCGTTCGAACTGTTCGAACGGACGGTTGACCCTGGTCACCAACATATTCGTGTATCTCATGTTGTTTGCTTTCACTCTTTAGTGATGATTCCCTTGCACTATAAAAACGTCAATTCCGTCGATGGGTATTAATCTGCTTCTGTCGAAGGGAGAATAATGCGTGGCGCGAGAATGCTCGCGTCTTACTCTTCATCAGGTTAGGCATTATATGGTTACCGCTAGCTCTTTTGCCCATACTCACCATCAGTATGCATTTGAATTTTAGGTAGAGTTATTGAGTTGATGCATAATTTGCAATTTTTTGACTTCTTTTATCGAAAAGACTAGCGTTGTTTATTATTTGTTCAAAATATTCTTATCTCTTTCCCCCCCCCCCCCCCCCCCCCATGCAACAAAACCGTCATCCATTAATCCATATCATATTCTCCATACATTTCTACCACTCGAGAAAGGTGGAAGACTGCGACAGTAGTCGGTTCGCCGGTTACTCTCAAAATCTTCCGGCGTGAGGAAACAATCAGCATAAAAGCCAATGCTGAAAGAAGGTTCAAGAAGTCATAAGCTCAATCACGAGCACGAATCTCTACGGACGCATTCAAATCAAAGGCTTTGACAAAACTGGCAGACGAGCAAAATTTCACGTGAGCGTGCGTCCATAGGTACGTCCGCAGGTTGGAGCGGGCATCGTTCCAAGAATCGAGGAACTTCACACCATGGAATTACCTACTGCAATGAATCGAAGCGTTCTTGAAGAGCTTATGTCTTACGCTCGGCAGTAAACTTAGCTTTTTCTTGTTGAATATCTTTTTCCGCACATAGAATTCTCGGAAATAGCAATTAGAAGAAAGCCGCACAAATACTCATTTCAATCCATATGTAGTATACATTCATTATACGTCGACACGATCATCTACAAAAAGGCTGTCAGACCGCAGCATCTGGGACCTTTTTTTGTTGTTGTTGGATGGACAATTCAGAAAATAGTCTTATGTTTAGAGCAACTAGCGATCGTGGGACGCGGACAGTCTGAAAAGAGTACTAATAGTGATCATGTGCCGGGGAGACGCCTAGTGAACGCCAAATTCAGATTAGAGAGTGCAGCCGATTGAACTCAGTGGCTTCTTACACCGGGTTAATCCAAAGCAAATGAAATAAGGTGGGGCGAAGTTCCGCAGCATTATGCTGCTTCTCTTCGCAGCCAGATGTTGACGACGGTGGCCCATTAAGCGCAATCAGTGCTACTGACCTATGCTGCAACGGAGCACTATATGAAACCCTACTGATCGCTAAGGAATCTTCCTACTGACATTAACTCGCCTCCATTCCTCAAGTAACGATACCTTACGGCTATTGCTCTTGAGATAGCAAAAATCAACGGATGAATAGGGCGATGGTCTTGGATTAATGTATCATGATTAACCTGTTCGACTACCGAAATCTCCATCTTTCCTTCTGTAGAACTTCAGAACCATTCAACGGTCGTTGGTATCAATCGCGTGACAAACGTCCAGTCAAAAACGTGCCGTTTAATGGGAAAAAACACGTGAACTGTATTCATGTTGGGCCCTTCATACAATGACAGGTGCTCCGCACCATGGCACGCACTCCACAGAGAGCACTTCGGTCTCGCCTACGTAGTGCCAATCCGTGTCCGCCTTCCAACTTAGAGGGTCTTCCAAAGCCTGTTTATCTCTTCTGCCCGCGCGGTTTATCCATTTTCGCTCTAAACTTCTCAAAGTCTTCAGTCCGACCATGCCCAACACCTGTACTACAAGCGGCTCAAGGCCAAATGAGCAGCCTTTCCGTGGAAGATTCCTTTAAGTCTCATAGGCCTATAATCGGCGCAAATCGCTGGGAGGGTCTAGGATGGCGCTTTTCATTGAGTGGATCTGGGACAGTCATTGAGGTTGAAGGGTGTCACAAGTGGTACCCCCCCTCCCCACATGATGACGGGCTCGCCCGTGGGGACGTTCCGATGCGTTTCAAAAGGGAATTCCGTGTCAGACGTCAACTACATTCTAGCCCCTAGCCTCCTTACCAAATGATCTGTGGCACTCTTATTTGTTTACGGACACGGCTGCACCATATTCGGTAAAACTGTCCCCATGAATTCACAGGGAAATAGCTTGCCCTTAAAAGTCACTTTGATACGACAGGTGGAAGATTCCCCTTTTAGCAAGAAATCGAACGCCTTTTCCTAATACCTTTTCCTATTATATTTCTGATTGAAAAATTTGGCAACAGGATGAATGATTTGCCAAGTCCTCCAGCTCTAGTCACTTCTTGTTTTTATGTTGATTTTCCAGTTGCACTTCTGTTCAGGTTCACTCAGTCTTGTGCTACGTCCTACCAGAAGCCACAACGGAAAGATACGGCAATCTTTTAGTGACGTGCACCATTGCAAGGTATCACCTTCAGGTCGGCTCTGCTCTTGAGTAAAAATAGAACTTTCCCAAGTCGAAGTGTAGCGAGTTGCAAGATGGCCGCCTCAGTAAGACCCTCTACACTTCCGGCAATGAACTGGTATTAATTAGTTTCTGGCGAGGAAATTGAGCCTTGTCTCGTCACGGGAAGGCACAAATCAATAGCGTATGCACCAGCTCGGAGGAAACGGTTGTGTAAGTCAGTATCTACTATGAAGCTGGAGGTGTGGAGTGGTCTGAAAACGAGAAAGAAAACAAGGGAAACCCCCGATTACGCTCCGGATAAGGACCACCTATTTCTGCCGTCTTCCACCTTGGGATAGGGAAGGGTCTGTTGGACGAGTCTCAAGAGCTCAGCTACAGTTATTCCAGTGCCAGTGAAATTTAAGCCCAACGAAAAGCGCTCGTCCTTTCAAACAGCGTGCTACGTAGCAACCAACAGCGGAAGGCGGGACTTCTGGACGAACGGGTGGACTGTCGAGCGAGCTTCCAGCGCCTTTGTCGCGCTCTTTCAAGGCCTGAAGGGCGCTCAGTCCGCCTCCCTTCACGCTTGGGTACGGAACAGGTGGGCGTGCCAATTCCGGAGGTGCCTTTAAAGGCAGCCCGCTCTACTCTTTGATACTGAATGTTTTTAATAGCGACTAAGCGAATTTCTGCTATTCGTTCCTTTACACCTTTTTACAATACGTTTCAGATTCCTATTCGCTCAAAAAATGGCGTCTTGAAAGCGGCTGGTTCAACATTCACTCGCCTCAACGAATACGGGAAGCAGTCAGCTTGCATCACAAAGGATTTCCTGAAACCTTTGTGTCACTGCACCAAACATGTGTACCAAACAGAATCCTAGACAACACCTCAAATGCAGTGAACACAAGGGTTTGAAGGTGGAGGCGATTTTGAGACCTTGATAGTTGGATTACATCGAAGAGTAATCATACAATCCCCCCTACCCCTGCTAATACCGTGTTTCAAAGCCGTGCCAGGAAGGATGTCTCCACTTCGCCTCTGCTCTTCACCTTCGTGTTCACTGCCCTTGAGGGAATCTTGCGAACTCCAATACCACGGGTACTTTTTTCATGCCGAATTTTATGGTACGGATACGGTGTTGCTGATTTTTGAGACGGTTCGTTCATTAGTTATCACCTGTTAAGGATACATGTTCAGTTGCTCCTCGGAATCAGAGCCATGGATCGCCTCTCGCAGACATTCGGGTAGTGAGAGCTAAAATATGGAGCAACTGCAACTACTACTTATTTCTTTATATTCAATACTTTGGTAGGTTATATATAAAGAAGAAAAGAAATTGCGTCATGTAAATTTTGATTTGTTCTGTTAATTAAAATAGGTTTTCAAAAGGATAAGGGTTCATCGACATGAGTGCTCTGCTATTGTTTTTTTTTGTCATGCTCAATTTACTTGCTAGGAAAGCACCTTTGCAACCGGCGGCTTTCACGTTACAGTCCATCTTATAAAAAATCTTAATGGCAGTGGGTGCTATAATCAAATATCGCTCCAAAATCGCCAGCTGTTTTAGCAGGGATGAGAAAAAGCGGTAGGAACTAGCTTCCCATGTTTTATTTTGAGTAGTTTGAGGGTTTATAAGGAGATGGTAGCGCAGCAGGGAGACGGCAGACACTGACATGACATAGCACTCTGCGGATAACTCGTCCACTTGGGGGTGGAGCGACGCGCAAAAGGTATTATGTTAGGTCTTTTGTTTCATCCGTTTATTGTGGATGCCTCAAAATTGCCTACATTTCGTCTGCATAGTCATGATTTCTCCTTATTAGTATTCATATTTAGCCTGTATGCTTAACCATGTTATCGTGCCCACTGCCTTTAAATCTACATCGATTTTTTGTACACAAATCGATTTTCATTTTTTACGTGGTGCGTTGTGGATGACTAAAGGTTGGCTGTTTCAATAACTTTTGCTCATTGCTTTCTGTTGACTTCATTATTCCAAAGTGTTTCTGAGAAAAGTTGAATTTTCTACTCAGTTGGTTTTGTGGGATTCGACTGTGCCCTGATGTTTTGTTTGTTCTCCGAATTAGTGATTGACATACTTGTTTGAATGATCTCAATGCTCTTGCGATAATAGTGCTGTTAAATAAACTCAGTGTTTCTAATAGATGAATGAGTAACTTTACAGGAGTGCAGAAAATTCATTTGTGGAACGTTTTCTGGCTGTTTTTTTTAATTGGCAGAGATTACGCACAAGTACCCGTACAGTGACGTCACGTCCACACAAGACTCCGCCCAGCTCACAAACCCCGCCCACTTTCCAGTTTCGCATAGCGAAGAAGCTTACGGTTTTGTTAGTAATCAGTGCTGATCTTTTACCCAAAAGATGCGTTTTCCGACATGTGCACCTACGACCTGCCTCTAAAACTGCACCGAACAACACACACGAAGATATCGCTTTTTCGATTCGCAGATTCTTACTGGAATTATTCAACAAAACGATTTGTCTTCACTAATTTTTATTCTAAAGATGAAATCAGCATCATACTGAAAATATTCTGCGTCGTGAATTCTCAAGAAACAGTGATTAAAAAGTGATAGTAAGACAGCACATCCAATTCTCTGAGCAAAGTGGTGATCTAAACAATAACTAATCCTATCCTAGTCAATGCTGGGCGCGAAGGGAATGTAGTGCAAGTGGCACGCTACCGCGAGCATCACGTCGGTGATCCAAAATGCCAACCCCTCCCCCCCTTGTTCCTTTCCGCGCATAATTTTGTTCATGCAAGTCGTCCTGCCCCGCCCGCGAACAAGAATTCATCCTTCGAGGTTCGGATCAGATTCCGTACCAGAGTTACCTGGGGCTAGGGGTCGTGTCCTATAGTTAGCTACTTTTCAAAACTCTCTTTTACGACCCCCCTCCCCCAGGCTCAACCTTCACGTCTCGGAACATTTCCCGGGCATTTGCGACCCCCCTAGCCTCTCCGAGGCGCGTCAGTTGCTACCCCTGTTTGTATCAAGAGTGCTAGACACCTGAATTCATTCTCCGCAGAAAGCGGTCTGCGCCGTTAGCGCTCGGTCGAAAAACAAAACGAAAGGCATTGCATTTTTTTCGAGCAGGTATCACCCGGGCGCTGGAAGAACGGGACGCGGCGAAGAAAAAATTTTAGAGGGGAATAACTTTCTTGGGACGTATTTTTTGACTTGTTGAGGTAGATTTTGATTGTGCCTGAGGTGCGCTTCCAGAAAACTACAAGGATTGCCTAACTCTCCGGAAAGTACTTCTGTTAGAAGTGGAAAACCCAAAATTCTAAGAAGGCGCACCTTCAACTTTGAAGGCCCATAAAATCTTTCGTATGCGACATTTTGGAAATCTGTAAAAGTTTCAGAAACACTCAAATATTTCTCTAACAAAATAATATAAAAGTTTGACGATTGTCCTCTTTTTCAAAAAATCGCCCCGTTCGAACACTTTTTTTGAAATCGCGAGTTTTTGGGCTTTCAGCGGGCATAACTCACTTCATTTTCATTTCTGTGATGCACACTTTCCATGGGGTGAAAGAGCAGGATTTGCTCTTTCTGACAAGCACCAAACCGTTTTTCAAAATCCATTTTCCGAGAAAATCACACGTTCGAACATTTTGTTCCCATAGGTTTTTGAGCAGCACATGCGAGTTTTTGAGCTTTCAGCAATAATAACTTCCTTCAAAGAAACTTGTTGGGGAGGGGCAAAGATATTTTTGAAGACTACGAGATTTCTGCTTTCTTATGTGTCTTACCTTTGTCTGGAAGAATCGTCCTTAGAAAATTAGGTCCCGAAGAACTTTAATTTCAGCCCCGAGAAGTCAAACCTTTCTCATTACGTCGGCGTGCATTAACATTTCTTTATTTCTCAAAAAAAAACACAACCTGTAATTCGCCTGAAAACTGACTCTCTGATCGTCTATGCATATTTAATCGAATCTAATGCGGTCTGCACAAACAATTCTTGCCCTCGGATACGCCACGCACGCGCCTGTGGCTGGCAGTCCTCGAAATTGCGACCCCCTTCCGACCAAAATGCGACCCCTTCGTTCGAACAGTTCGAACGGACGGTTGACCCTGCCCTCCTCATGCCCAATTTTCATACGACTCCCTCAAAAAAATTTTTACCCCAAAATATTAACGTCGAGCGGGGGCAGGGGGTGTGTACACGCAGGTATGTACACGCGCTGAAACAGCAAATTTTCTCCCGCACCGCTCCCCACTCATCGCATGCCACTTCTTACAACCGAAGCAAGTGGCCTCCTGCTCTACAAATCACCAAGCCTTCTATCCCCGGCTACTTGTAGGCTAATTGGTACCAGACTTGTCTGGGAGATAAAAACACTGACTTGTACATCGGCTGGCCCCCGCAAGTCATTGTATAGGCCACATCGCATTCAAACGCCACTACGAATGTACAAATGGAAGTAGAATGCGTGCCGCATCCCAAAAAGGGATTGATCAACGGCAAATGCTTCATCCTTTATTATAACTTCGTTGAGAATGCAGGGAACTCCATGCCCACATGGAAGCAAGGACCACACAGTTACCCACCCGCTCCACTTCCCGGCTTACATGTCTTGACCCACTTTCTTTTCGGCATAGAATGTGAGAATAGTTAAGAACAAAAGTGCGTAACGATCCTTTTGGTCAATTACATCATTAAGCACACTATACAGCGCCCTGTCTACGGCAGCTTTTAACGCTATTCGCAGGCCAATACGCAAGCGAATTCTCTAGCGCTGGCCTCATAAATGTGATCGCATCACCAATATGAAGATCGCACAGGCTATAACTCAACCGTAGGTTTTTGTCATGGCGTGGTTCCTCTTGAAGCAGATATGCGTTGAGGAGAATTGCACGGAGGAAGATCGAAGGTCGAAAGAAATCAGGCAAAACATACCCGCTGGCAAAGAACAGCTAAATCGCACCTGCCCCTACAGTGTGCAGACGCACTCACCTATTGCATGTACGGGACCGTACCCATCGCCGGCTAGCATTGGCGCTTCCACGCGTTGGTCGCGCTGCCGCCCACATCCTCCGCCTGTTGCTCTAGTGGCGTCTAGAAAAGTTAGCTGAACTATTACGCACCAAATTAGACCTCGTCTTAACGCGCAATCAACGGCCTAGCAGTTGAAGGAAGGTGCCATTTCTCGAGCTACCAAATTATATTCTTCCGTTCCCTCCTCATCCTTGCATAACTCTCCGCCTTTACCTTGATTTCTAGAGGGCTCTTTCATCGTATACACCCCTTTCAAGTGGCACAATGCGGCGCTCGGGCGGAAGCAGCACTGTGCGCGTGTCATTGCGCTCAAGATTATAGTTCTTCCATCAAACACGCAACGCCTTGGTTTTCACTATAGGCATCTCTGGTTTTCTATGCTGAAGAGGACGTTTTTCTAGTAATGACATTTGAATTCGGTCCTCAAGTAAACCGTGTTGGTACGGGTGAAAATCCAGTTTGGGCGGGGGGTCACTCCATTGCGTTCTCCAATATGACAAAGACAAAAATGAGGCGCTCGTGACACGTAATCGATCATTTAAAGTGCACTTATGATAAGTACCGGTGTGATGTAGGAGCTCTTGACGTGCTCCCACAATTCGGCTTGCAACGGTCCGAGGAATGGTTCTGAACGGGGAATGGAGAGGTTTTCCTTGACCTAAGGGTGAAGGGGCGCTAGGGTGGATGATCTGGTGCAGAAAATTGGATAGATGTGTACAGGAAATGAGTGTAGGACCCCGCCGTTGCTTATCGGAAGTGCATTTCAAATGATTCGCTTCACATGTTATTTTATCCTTACCATTAGTCTTAGATAGCCCAGAGGAGTGCTCTCTAGAACGAAGGATAAGATAGAAAGG